TTTCCCTCTTTTCTCTTCGTGGGACACCGCACTTCACAGTTTACAGCTAACAAAAGCTCACATTCACTGAGCACTCGTGGGGGCCTGTTCTAAGCCCTTTAAGGGAATGAACTCAACTCCCACCAACCCTCCAAGGTCCCGTTTCACAGATGAGGAAACTCAGGCCCAGAGAGGTTAAGTGACTTGCCCAAGGTCACACAGCTGGGAGGTGGCAGAGTTGAGATTCCATCCCGGGTCATCTGAACCCCTAACCACCAGGCTACCCTGCCCTGCACCTTGTAAAGTGCATTCACATCTATTAACCTCACAGTATTGTGGGGAGACAGGGCAAGGGCTGTGGCCCCAGCTTTACAAGTGAGGAACTCATAGTTCAAAAAGGTGACATGCCCAAGTCACACAGCTAGGAGGACCCTTAATTGGGTCTCCTGGTTCCTTATTTCCGTATCCACTACCTCCCCCTTCCGTCGCTGTTCCCAATCCCCCGTATGCAACCCCAGTCTTTTCCCCTCTCCAGCCCCTCCAGCTGAGTCGGGCTCCCCAAACCCTAAGGGAGAGGCCGCAGGTAGACACCCTAAACCTGGACCCTCCGGCCCTCCAGGGCACCCTCAGCGTCCCTGCAGGTCCCCAGCGGCTGGTGGGACTCCATGCTGAGCATCGCAGAGGCCTCTGGCATCAGGGACCCTGGCAAGAGCAGATTTACGAGCAGGACTATTTTATACTTTGCAGCTGCCGCCATAAACCCTGCACCCGCCTGGGGAGGGGGAGCAGCTGCGGGGGAACCTCCCGGGCCCTGGGGCCAGCACCAAATCCTTCCTGCTATTTCTGAGCAGCCGGAGGAATCCTGAAATTAAAACCTCCTGAAAAAATGTCAAATCCCTATCCCACTCCAGACAGATCCTTCCCCCAAACCAGATGAAGAGCCAGGAGAAAGCAGAGCAGAGCCATACGCAGCACAAGACTGCCCACTGGAGCCCCAAATTCTCACCCGGCTCTGGACGAGACCCAGCCTCAGATGCCCAAGTATAAAATGAGGGGCTGGTCTGAGGCTCTCTGAACTTCAGCGGTTCCCTAAAGTCATGTAGCTCAAACATTCTCACTCTTTAAGATTCTATGCTCCAACTACTGGCTGTGTGAGCTTGGATAAATTACTTGACCTCTCTGAGTCTCCATTTTTTCATCTGTAAAATGGGGAGAACTAACCATCATCTCATTAAGAAGGTTGGGAGGAAGAGATAAAATAATATCAGTAGTTCATAGCATTATTTGTAATAGCCAAAAGCTGGAAACCACCCGAACATCCATCAACTGGTGAACAGATAAGTTTTCATACATTCACACAAGGGAATACTACTCAGCAATAAAAAAGAGGGAACTATTGATAGATACAACAACATGAATGAATCTCAAAATATTTATGCTGAGTTAAAGAAGCCAGACCAAAAAGAAAAGAAAAAAAAAAAAAGAGTACACACTGCACTGTATGGTTCATTTATACAAAACTCCAGAAAATAAAAATGATTCATAGTGACAGGAAGCAGATCAATAGTTGCCTGGGGACTGGGGTGGGGGATGCAGAGGAACAGTAAGGAGAGATTACAAAGGGTGACGGATATGTCCATTCTCTTAATTGTGGTGATGGCTTTATACACATATGTCAAAATTATCAAACTGTACACTTGAATATGTGCATTTATTATGTGTCAATTATACCTCGGTAAAGCTGTAAAAAGTAACATGGGTAAAGCGCCAGAAGTGAATAACTGTCCATTTTTAAATGGAGGCTATGCCTGTTATTAATCATTGTGGCTGCATCTGGATGATTCTTTTATGAAGTTTCATCTCCTCCGCGAGAATATAGCCTCAGATCTGTTTTGTTAACAGTTTCTCCCCAATACCTGGCACAGAGTAGGTGCTCATTAAAGAATTATGGTTGGAAAACAAAAGATCTAGGACCCTGCTACTCACTCCTGGGCCACCTTGGAATCCAGAGTTTTAATTAATCCCAACGAAGGAAAACTGGATGATTCCAAGTGTCTATGAATGAAAACAGAGACAGGCACTGGGCAGTCACTGTCATCACCCCGGGAGGCAGGGTGGGGTTGGAACAAAGAAGGGGGACCCAAGATGAAATGCAATGGATACAAAACGCACGTGCCCACCCTACCATCAGCGGAGGGGCTCTACTTTTGGACCACAAAGTAGAGGCAGGAGCTTCAGTGCTGAAGAGTCCAGGCTGAGGAGCCACAGACCTGGGTCCAAACACCAGCTATGCCCGGCTGTGTGACCTCAGGCAAGTCACTACATCCTCTGAGCCTCAGTTTTCTCATCTGTAAAATGGGGGTAATGATATTGCTCCTCTCTCTGTAGAGTGTGGGGAGGGTTAAATGTGGTTCTGGATGTGTGGGCACGATGCCTTCCTTCAGCCTTACACACACGCGCACACGCACGGAGCACTTGCTATGTGCCAGGCACCGTGCTGAGTGCTAGGGAGACAGTGGTGGACAGACCCCCAGGCCCCTCTCCTCGTGGACTGTGAATGTTGCCTGTGACGACTGCCTGGCCGCACCCTCAGACACGATGATTTCATTGGTCTGGGTGGGGTCCAGGAGTCAGGATTTTTAAAAGCTCCCAGGTAATCCCAGTGTGCAGGTGGAGAGCCCTGCCAGGCGGGGTAGGATCATCTTCTCTTTACACACATGGAAACAGAGGCCCAGAGAGGTGAGGTGATTCACCCAAGGTCACACAGCCAGGAAAGCGTGGAGCTGGCATTGACCCAAGTGGTCTCACCCCACAGCCCAAACCACTCTGAGCACCCCAGAAGGTTAAGGATGATGTGCTCAGCACACAACGGCCTGGGAAGTGTGGGTTCTGCCCCTCCTGCCCACACCCCGGACATGACCTCAGCCAGAGTATGCCCGGCCTGTCGAGCGATCAGAGCAGCGCAGGACATGGGAAAGAGGGCTCTTCAGCAACCCCCAACCCTACCACACGTCACCAGGAGCCCCATTCCCACACGAGCTAGGGTTCATGTCTCGGGGTGGGTTTGCTCACCCTCCCTCTCCCCCTCGACGGCAGCAGCGGGCCTGGCCCCAGGACAGACTCTCAGGCTGGGGGCCGCCGTGAGGTTTTACAAGCCCTGGGAAAGTGGGGCCCTGGTTGTGCCCTGGCAGCCTCCCGGATACCTGGGAACACTGGAACCCCTCACCCACACGCTTAAGCCCCATTCTTCCCCCACCACCGCCCCCCACCCCCACTTGGCCCTAGCCACACATGCTCCCACCACGGTCTCCCTCCGCGGCTCACTCCCCGCTTGGTGCCAGCCAGATGTGTGCGCATAAACGGCCCCTCCTGGGTAACTCCATCAGAGGCGGGAGCAGAGTGGAGCGGCTCTAAGCCTCAGTGGTAGTGGGGCCCTGCTGTTCCCTCCCCAAGCACTTCCTTCACTGTCACTCGTTCATTCATCAGAAAAGCAATAGAGCCCAGCGGAGAACTCAGACTCCAGAATTAGACTGCAGGCCTGGAATCTTGGCTGTGTGACCTGGGCAACTGACTTCCCCTCTCTGGACCTCAGTTTCCCCATCTGTGACATGGGGATAATAACAGTGCCCACCTCGTAGGGTTGCCATGAGTTAATGATGTCCCCTGTTTAGAGCAATGCCTGGCACATAACACATGTCCCTTAATTGTAAGCAATTTTTATCATCCTTGAGCACAGGGGACTGTGGAAGAGAGGCTGGGTGCGGGGCATCCAGGAAGACTCCCAGGAGGAGGGGACATCTAAGCCAGAAGCTAGAAGATGAGAGTTAGCAAGGCAAGGAGGGGGGTGGAAGGGTGTCTTAGGCAGAGGGAATAGTAGCTGTAGAAGCTCAGAGGTGAGGGAGAGGTTGACTCCTGCACTGGGGCTCAGACCACCTCCTTTATCCCCCCAGCAGTCCCTGGGGACACAGGCTGTGGCGAAGGCCACACACTCCACATTCTCTGGAGGGCCCACTGGGCACCAATGGGGAGCCACTGACCAGGATGCTGCTGATTGGGAGATGTCTCCCCGCCTGCTCCCCAGGGATCGCCAAAGTCCGCTTCTGTCTTACCTGGGTTTTGCCTGTCATGAGGAAGCTTCATGCACTTCCCAGCCACACCCCAGCGCTTAGGACCCCGCAGGAGTTCAGGAAGAAGGAGAGAGCCTGTCCCACCCAGAGAGGTTGAGTGACTTGGTCCCAGCCACACAGCATCCGAGTATTCGGTATCTGTATTTCGATTCTCCCTACATTCTTGGGCGGGAGCCTGTCTGGGCTGAGAAAGGGAGGGCCCTTCCCTACTGAGCAGGACAGTGGCCATTGTGTGTTATGAAACCCAAACCCCGGCCCCCTCCGGATGGATGTGGGGTCGGCGGAGGAGAGGGGCTGCAGGAGGATGGCCTCCCTGCCCCCATCACCCCAGGGATCCAGCACGTGCTCGCAGCCCAGCCGCATCTGGATTCCAGCTGGCAGCTCCAGCACGGAGGGGGAGCAGTGGCCGCAGGGATGGCCATCAAAGGCGGGGAGGAGGCTGGTGGGCGAGGAGACACAAGCCAGGGCTGCCTCCAGCCCCACGCACCACTGGCCAAGGGTGCGGCGAGTGTGGCATTGTCCCTAACACCCGGGCCAGTCCTTAGCCGCTCTGCAGGGTCAGGGGAAACCGAAACCTCAGTCCCAAGCCCCTCCACTGCCCCTTGGGGGAAACGGAGAGGTGGTGGCTCTCCTACAGACACAGTAAGTAGCAGAGGCATGCGTGGAACTGGCCCCTGTGGCCACAAGCCCAGGGCTGATGGGGCACAAGCTCCGGCCCCTGTTCCCATGGGCCATCCATCCCGCCCTCCGTTTCCCACACCAATCTGCCCATTCAGCCCCTGGCCCCAGAACGTTGCCCCACCCCCATGGAACAGCCCAGGGGAAATGCTCCCCACCTCCCAGCTGATTCACTCCTCCCCCGCTACCGCCCCAAGAAAACCAGCGACGCTCAGGCCAGAATAAAGGTTTATTGTGCTAGTTTGTTATATCCTAGCACCTGGAGAGTTGTGCAGAGGTTGGGGGGAGGGGGGACGGAGGGATGGGGAAGAGGAACCCCCCCCGCCAGAGCCTCCCCAAATCAGGACGGAGCTCAGGCTCCCTTGTCGAAAACTAAAGAATGCTATGGGCACAGGCTGCCAGATGTGTGTGTGTGTGTGTGTGTGTGTGTGTGTGTGTGTGTGTGTGTGTGAAGGGCAGGGGGTCAGGGTTCCCCTGCTCCAGCCTGTTGGAAACCCTCCCTGATACCCTCAGATTCCCCCAGAGTGGGGTCCCCTCACACACAGCCCTGCCCCCCACCACTTCTAGGTTGCTCTGGGGCCCTGGCAAGAAAGCTCAATTCATTTGCCCCATGCCCACAGCAGTAGCAGGATGAGAGGCAGCCCCTGAGAGGCCGAGCCTCCACCTCCACAGCCTTCACCCCGGACCAACCAGGAACTGGGGAGGGGGCGCCCTGGAGCACACCTGGAGCTGTAACTTCCAGAGTGTTCTCTTCAGGATTTTACTCTGTAGCTGTAAAACAAAAACAAAAGTACTCCGCGGCCAAAAGCTTTTTGGGAAAGGCTAAGCGAAATCAGATTCCATGGACACCTTTACTGCGGGACTTGTCAGAGCCTTGGGGGGCTCCAAGGGGGGTACGCAGAGCAGAGAAGCAATGTTTCCTCAATTCATTCACTGGACCTCAAAATCTTTCTTCCAGGGAACCCAGTTTGGGAAATGCTCACTTAGGAACCTGTCGTGATCGGTGCAGGACCCCTCACGGAAGCCTCCTGACTGATCTTCTGCGGCACCTCTCCCTGCTTCAACCCCAGGCACCTCTGCATCTCCCATCTGTTCAACCTCTTCCAAACCTCCTAGTTATCCTGTTTCTCTTTCCTACCTCGATGGAAAGCGGCGACGTTTGCATTGTCACAAGGGACCTGAGACATATGTTTCCCAGCGGACGTGGCTGTGACAGGGACACATCCTCAGCTCCATCTCCCCAGAGGAGCTGTACTTTGGGATGTAGGCCTTGGGGCTGCGGGGACAAATGTTCTCGAAGTGGATGAGATTCCTGAGGGTGGAACAGAGACCAGCATCTCTGCCTGCTGTAGTAGGATCAGACGTGCCGGGATTTGCCGCGGGGAGTGGCCGAGTAGGGGGTGTCAGAGCACGGTAAGGGCCGAGGACCTTTCTGTGCCCAAGGAGGTGACCACCAGGGGTCCGACAATCAGGGCCGGCAGCCCTAGAGGCCTGTTAGATGCTGGGGGGGACACTGCCGCAAGCACAGGGGTTTTCGAGGGAACCAGCTGGGCCCCCAGCTCCGAGGGCTAATGAGGGAGCTGCTTCTGGCTCCCCTTGACCTTCAGCAGCTGCCACAGCCCCATCCGCCTGCACCGAGCAGGGCTCCTCTGGCGGCGCCTCTGGTTTCTCTGCCGGGACCCCGTGTCCCTGGGCTTCCTGGTCTGCCTCCCGGCTGCCCTTCTCTTCTTCCTCCGACTTGCCCTCCATCATCCTGGCTCCGTCTCCCATGCCCGGGGCGGCCCTGGCGGGAGACTTGAGGTTCTGGGTGGCGGCGAGGATGTCAGCCTGGAGCTGCTGGGAGGAATCGCGGGCCTCGTCGGGCCGGCCGTCAGGGGCACGGTCGGGGACCTCGCTGAAGGCCCGGGGGCCCCCGGCCCGGTCACTCTGGTCCACGTACTTCTTCTTAGGGAAAGATGAGGGGTAGTAGGCAGAGGCTTTGTGTTTCTGGCGGGTGATAAGAGCGGCACAGATGGTGAACAGCAGTAGGAACACCAGGGAGCCCACCACGGCGATGAGCATCACGTACTGGCGGAAGAAATCCACGATGCCGTCCAGGAAGTTGGTGGGGGGCTTGGGGCCCGCCAGGGGCGTGAGCTGGGGCCCCACCGAGGTGAGGCTGAGGGCTGGGGTCCGGGGCGGCGGGAGGCTCGGGGAGGAGGCCGACGCGCCCTCGGCCTCCCCGCTGCCCGCCATGTCCTCCAGGAAGGTGGCCCGCAGGGACACGGAATAGGACGCCGTGGGCAGGACCCGCAGGAGGAGCAGCAGAGACGCCGTGAGGCTGGGGGCCGCCGCGGAAACCATGCTGCCTGGAGCCTGTGGGGAAGCGAGGCAGAAGAGACGTCAGGGCGGGGCCCCAGCCTCAGGGGACCCCGAGGAGGCGCAGCAGACACAGAACCTATTCCAGCAAGTCGCTTTCCTTCCCCGGGCCTGAGCCTCCCCACCATACAATGGACCCCATCCCGGGGTTTACACTGGTCCCCCCCCGACTTCACTCTGAGCTTCTGGAGGGCAAGGGCTAAATCTTGTTTATCTCGGCACCCTCAGGGTTTTGCATCATACCTGGTATACAGCAAGTGCTCAATAAATGCACATTGATGGAGTTGGCTGAATGAATAAGAACTTACCCTTTCATTGCTTGCCATGTGCCAGACACTATTTTACATTTCTTACATGGAATTTCTCATTGAATCCTGAGAACTGCCCAATAGGGCAGGTACTACATTCTCCCCATTTTCCAGGTGAGGAAACTGAGGCTCAGAGGGATTAAGTGACTTGCTGAGGAAGAGCTGGGGTTTGGATGCAGGCACGGAGGGAGAGAGGACGGTAGGGCTCAGTGAGTAACTGAGAGAGCTGCCCCCTCCTCTGGGAAGCCATCCTCGCTGCTCCCAGCTCCTCTGCGGTCCCGTCTCTGGAAGATTCATAGGTTTTGAAGCATCCCGATTCTGAGCTCAGCAGAGGCCTGTGTGAGCATGTGCCCCATGGCTAACCCCCACCTCGAGGCTCAAAGCAGGGCCTGGAGGCCCAGAGGGAACCCTCGTGCCTGGAACAAAGCTGGAGCCTAAGTCCTGTGGCCGCCACCAAATGGGATCCAGATGAACCCCGCACCTCCCTCCCCCCGCTGGAAAGCTCCCAACGTGAAGCCCCCAGACCCTCCCGGCCCAGACAGCCCGGCTGACTAATAAATTCCTTATGGCCCAGCTTTACGCAGCAGTCGGCTTCTAACGCAGTACATCTCCCAGCCAGCGTGAGCGAGCCCGGCCGCTCAGACAAACCCAGCAACCCCTTCCTGCGCACCCCAGGCTGCCCCTTGAGAGCCTCTGCCCCACCCGGCAGAGGGCACAGGACTCTGGGTGGGGCTACAGGTGCCAAGACGGAAAAGCCTCACGATGCCCTGACTGAGGTGCCCTCTCCAGGGGATGGAAACGGGGAGACAGAGGCCCAGAGAAGGCAAGGGGCAGGCCCCAGGCCACACAGTGAGTTCTGGGCTGGAGCAGGAAGTCAGGTGCCCAACATCTTGGCGGCAGGTCCCCTCGAGTGCCCAGGCCTCAGGCCCAGCTCCATAAAGTGGGTGACAGTACTGACTCACGCTGACTTGGGGATTCAGAAGATGATGTAGGAATGACATGGGGCCACTGAGTGGCTTGTTCCAAGTGACCCGGGGCCACCTGATGTGACACGAATTTGGACAAACTGGCTCAGATGGCAAAACACAAAAGATAATTCCCAGGACCTCAAATGAGGCAACACTCACCCAGGGTTCATTTTAAATGAGTTGGTCACTGTGTATTTTATCACGGGTTACTCATCTGAGCCCCTTTTGTGGGTGCAATTCCAAAGAAGCCATGGGCACTAACATTGTCTCCATTTTTCAGATGGGGAAACAGAGGTTCAGAGACAGACAGTGACCTGCCCAAGGGCACACAGGTGCTAAGTGTCAGAGCTGGGATTTGAACCTTCTTCTTTGTGACTCTGAGAATTCACACACACACACACACACCCTGCACACTCTCTCTCACGTGCCTCAGGCTGGCCCAGGAATGGGCTCACATCACTGGCTGACATCACTTGTCAGCTGGAACCAGGATCTGAGGTGTTCCACAAAGTTTAGGAGCCTTCCTGGGCCCTCCACTCTCTGACACTTGTTAGCAAAGGTTCCTACAAAGAGCTTTTATCTTTGGGGTTTTTCTCTCTTGCCTTCCCCCGCCTTGTGTCAAGCCCGGGAGAGACCTTTCATGGTGGCAGCTGAAACTTCTCACCATAGACGGCAACTCTGACCAGTGGGGCCTGAAGACCAGGGGCCTTTCCTGGGGGGACGGCTGTGAAGTTTCTGTACTGAAGGTCTGCAGGCAGCAGAGTGATAAGGCCGGTTAGGCCGGGATTAGAATCCTAGCTCCATCTGGGCCTAGCTTGCTGCCCGGGCCCTCTGGGCCTCACTTTCCCCATTTGTAGACTGGGGGCAGCGTAAGGAGGTAAGCACAGGGCCTGGCTCACTGAGCTGTTAGGACCGGATGAGATCACATTCAGAAAGCGCCTGGCGCAGAGCAGCTGCTCCCCGAGGGAAGGTGAAATTCAGAAGCAGTCGAATTTCTACCCCAGCAGAGATGCAGGATCAGCCGATTTTCCCACCCCAGGTTGACAAATGACGATTATTCTCACCTGATGTGTAAATGTGCTCGTTGTCTCCCCCCATTCTCCAGGAAAGAGCAACTTTTTTACCTCGTTGAGTGAAATCTCGTTGAGCGGCCAGTGAGGAATCCAGGACCAGACAGACAGACACACACACACACACACACACACACGAATGTGCGGCACACACACACACACACACACACACACACACACACACACGAATGTGCGGCAGTGAGTCGGACAGAGAAAAGTCCTCCTTTCCCCTGGATCCTTGGGGGCAGGGGCAGAGGATAAGGAAAGAGGCCACAGAAACTACCTCTGGATCTTAAAGGCTGAGACCCTGACTCTCAGAGTCCCTCACACCCACCACAACCCTCCCCACAGGGCTCCGGGGGAAAGGTGCCGGCAAAGTGCGGGAGCCGGCCGGGCCTCACAGGAGATGGCTGTGTGACCCTGCTTGACTAGCCCCCTGACCTTTCTGGGCCTCAGTCTTCTATCTGTAGAATGGGCACCCTGACCTGGGCTGCTCTGAAATGATCGTTCTGCCCATCAGCTGCCCCCACCTCCTCCCTGCGTCCTCATTTTTTCCAGGATGTGGAAACTCACAGGCCATTAAGAGGTGGGGTCAGGCCATCCCCTCTTGTTTAACCCAAGAGAAAACCCAGGCCCAACACTCGGAAAGGCCTGCCCAGGGTCGCACAGCCAGTCAGGGCAGAGCCTGACTGGAGAGGCGGCTGCGAATACCTGGGAGGAGGTCATTTCCCAGCTGTGTGTCTTGAGAGCAGGCAGATCACCTCTCTGAGCCTCGGTGTCCACATCTGTACAATGGGGATAAGGCCACCTTCCTGGACTATTGTTCGGACGAGAAATAGAGGCGGCTGGCACAGTGTGGATGGCAAGTAGTGGCACCACGTGACTATCCGGGACTCCTAGCTGGGAGCAGGGACTCTCTTCAGAGCCCAGCTCACTCACCATAGAGTTTATCGTTTTCAAATGTGATAGCCCCACTTGAGGTCAGGAATAGGCAGATGAGGCAAATCCATCCCTAAGGCCAAGTCCCCCAGCACCTGAGACCGATGGGCCAGAGTGGCTGCCCCACCCCCATTCAGAGACTGGTGGCCAGAGGGGGAGGGGTGGCCCACATAAACCTGGCTTCAATTAGTGGCCTTGTGGGGAGGGGTTCTGGCTGCAGCTCTGCACCCCCTGCTCTGGGGCAGCCGAGGACAGGGACCTGGGCCCCTTGGATGGGAGGCCTGGGGAGGGACGGGCGTCCTGAAGGCTCAAAATCGACACACACACGCGCAGAGCGGCGGCAGCACGGGCACACAATACACAGACACAGCACAGGCACAAAGACACAGACGCATAACATCTCGACACCCCAGACTGGCCACCAGCACAGATACACAGAGGACACACGTGGACACACAACGGGCTGGTTCTCTGACATGTGCACATAGGCACCCCCTGACCTCCCCCCGTGTATCCCCACGGACGGGACCACCCCCATCCATACCACCCTCCCGCAGACCCTGGGAGCACCTACCCTGGTGCCCACTCTCCAAGAACAACACATCCCCTACAGCAAGACCCCAGCTGCCCACACACAACTGCACACACGCAACACTCCGGCCAACCCAGCACCGCACTCGGGAGGCATCCAAGGTGCACACACATCCCACCACCCGCCCCCTTAGCGCAGATCACACACAAGTAGGCAGCAACCAACACACACTCAAAGCTCACACACACTTAGAGAAGCCCCCCAAAGCACTCACGCTGGCCCCCTAAACTCCAAGACACACCAGGCTCCCTGGAGAGAGGAGGGGCCCCCAGGACTCACCAGTTCCTCTGCACACAGGGTGTCCCGCCAGGTGGAGCAGAGCAAGTCCGTGGCAGTGCCCTGTGGCCGCGGCTCTGGGCTGCCGCCGCCCCGCCCCTTTCCTCCCGCCTCCTCCCGCCTCCCTTCCTCCCCTCGGCAGGGCCAGCTTGATTTCATTAAGTGGGTTTGGGGTGGGGACAGGGGCAGGGGCGGGGCCAAGCTCGGCCACACACACAGTCCCCCCTTGCTCACACCCGTGGGCGTCCCCTCCACGCCCCGGGAACACCAGATGGGGCATTTCCTCCCTGACCGCTGGTCCCCAGGGCAGTCTGAGGATGACAGACACACAGACAGGGCCGTCCTGTGGAGCACCCACGGCCCAGAGAGCTGGGATCCTGCCTGCCCTTCTGAAGGGTTTGAGGTCAGGGAGGTTCCGAGGTCCCTGAAAATGAGAAGGAAAATTCCCCGCACTTGGTTCCAGCTGTGACTCAGGTTTTCCGAGGCTCAGGGTGCAGAGTGGGAGCCGGGCTGCATTTAAGGGATGCATGGAGGGTCAGGCCTGAGGCAGGGAGCGAGTCCTGGCACCCACTGTCTGGCCCTGGTCAGGCCCTTTCCTTCGGCAGGCCTCTGTTTCCCCATTTGCAGGGGTGGGTGGGAAGCCCTCTGGGTTCCCTACGGCTGTAACATTGTGAGATCTGTGGCCTCGTGATATCCCAATGGAATGGGCAGAGCAGGAGTCGTGGGCCCATTTCCCAGATGGGGAAAGTGAGGCAGGGTGAATTCAAGAGGCTCACCCAGGGTACCGGGCCCTCTGGCAGACCTGAGGCATCCAGGGGGACAGTAGTCCTTTGCATTCCTTCGTTCCTGCACCATTCATTCATTCATCCATCAAATGCTTAATGAACACCTGTAGAGCACCAGGCGCAGTGCTGAGCAGACTTCAGAGGTAAATCAGAGCCCAGCCCTCAGGATGCTCGCAGACTTCCAAGGAGAAGCACACGTATGTAAATTATTTTTTTACAAAACAGAAATGGGTCTGTGGCAGGAGAGAGGCCAAGGGCCCTAGGACGGAGAGAGATCCCCTGAGAGAAGGAGGCAAGGAAGTCGCCCTAGAGGATGTGGCTGTGAATGAGCAGAGTCCCAGGAAGAGGAGACCCAGGAAGGGCATCCCAGGAGGAAGGACCAGCGTGGATAAAAGGCAGGTGGCTGGGAACGCCACGCACGGACAAGGGGCTGTAATTAAACTGGGCTGGAGCATGAAGTGGACGAAAGGGAGGAGCTGCTGATTAGGGTGGGAGCAGTCACCCAGGCAGGGCTGAAGTCTCAGAATGGCATTCATCCACGAGGCAGTAGGGAGCCAGGGAAGGTTTGGAGCAGGGGGAGTACGTGAATGAACAGATCATGACCACCCTTTAGGAACCAGGGCCCTAGGTTGTAGCTATTCCCTTCTATGGTCCCAGCAGCCCTGACTCACCTGCTCAAAGAAGGGGCAGCTGTTTGGAAAATAAAACTAGAAAATTTCCCATCTTCTCTGAGATCACCCCAAACCTTGCATCCTAAGGGAATGGGGAACCATCCACCAATGGACACACACACACACACTCATGTGCACACAGGCCCCCTGGGGCAAGTGGCTGCCCACAGACATGTTGTAACAGCTGAGCCCTCTTGAAGATGGCCAGGGGGTGTCCCAGCCCCATCTTAGACCAGATGGCAGGTGAGCAGGAGTGGCCAGACCTGCCCCAGGGCCCACCGCCTGGGGAGGAGCCCCTGCCCTAATAGTCTGAGGGCTGAGGGGGATTGGATCCCACGAGATCAAGGGGCAGAGGTACAACTAACCTGAACAGGGCCTGCTTCCAGCACGGGTGGCCCAGAGGCCCCAGACTAAGTCGCGGTCCCATTCTGTGTTCCTCCTTTGGGGCCAGAGCAGCCCCAGACCGGAGACAGAGAGACCCAGGTTCTAGGTCTGCCTTCACCAGGTCCTGCCCCATGGGGAGCCTCTTTCATCATCTGTAAAACGAGGATAGAGAATTTTTTCTGTTCACAAGGCTGCTGGGAAAATCCGGAGTCAGAGGGTGTAAACGTGCTGGGCAATACCAAAGCACTGGCCAGGTGCCAAGTGTGTAAGTTTCCTACAGCTGCTATAACAAATACCACAGACTTGGTGACTTAAAGCCACACACCGTTATTATCTTAGCGTTCTGGCAGCTGGAAGTCAGAAATGGGTCTCACTGGGCTAAAATCAACGTGTCGACCGAGCTTTGTTTATCCCAGGGTCTTCACAGGGAGAATCTGAGTCTTTGCCTTTTCAAGCTTCTAGAAGCTACCTGCATTCCTCAGCTCACAGTCATCTTCCTCCATCTTCAGAGTCAGCTGCAGGGTCTGAGTTCTCACGCTGCCACCTCTCTGGTTCTCTCTTCCAATCCCTCTTCCACTTTTAAGGACCCTTGTGATGATACCGGACCCACCCAGATAATCCGGGATCAGCTCCCTAAGAGCCTTAGCTTAATCACACCTGCAAATCCCTTTTGCCGGGTAAGGTGACAAACTCATATTACAGTTTTGAGGGATTGAGATGTGGACATCTTTGCGGGGGGGGGGGGAGGGCATTATTCTGTCTCTCACACCACGGTTGCCTATGATTACTTGTTCCCTGCAGAGCTGGCTGGAATCCTCCACCCTCCAAAGCACTGGGTTTTCCTCCCCCCATAGAACCTATCATTGTGCGTCAAACCCAGCGGGTTCCAGAAGACCTTAGGGAGAGAGAGGTGAATGAGTAAGCAAAGCCCATTCAACAGATGTGGAAACTGAGGTTCATGGCGGCGTGACCTACCTGGGATCCAACAGCATGTTGGGGATCAGAGCGCTTGCTTCTCCACCAGCCCCTCTGTGTCTTAGCTGGAAGTGAAATTGCCAGGCTAGTGACCCCGTTAAAGTGTTATCAGACCATGTTTCTCACACACACACACACACACACACACGCACACAAAGACACACATGATCTCCTTAAGCCAAACATCTCAACCTTCTACCTGAGGACAGAAGAGCAAAATGTCAGTCACTGATGGGAGAAAGAAGGATCCCTGAGTTCCAACCCCCCCTCGTGCATCAGCTGTGGGTGGCTGGGCAAACCTCTGCCCCTCTCTGGGCTGCAGCCAAATGTGGGGTCAGTCTAGATGCCCACCACAAGCCTGCCAGTGGTAAGGTTCCAATGCTGTAACTTTCTAAATTTTATTCGTTCTACAAACATTCCTTGAGCATCGATTTTACACCCAGCCCAGTGTCAGGCCCTGGAAGACAGTGACGAGCAAACACAGGCACCAAGAGAGGAGACCTGCAATAAGCAAGTAAACAAAGAAATGAATATCTGACTGCAAACTGAGCTAAGGGTTGGGATGGGGCATTTCTGGGGCTATGGGAGGCCAGTCTTGGGGGGCTAGTCTAGTCCTGGAGCTCCTGGGGACCTCCATGAGGAGGTGAAAGTAGAGTCACTCATGAAGATGAGGAGGTATTTAGGAAGGCAAGGGTGTGACAGGATTCCTAGCAGTGAGAATGGCATGTGCAAAGGCCCTGAGGTAGATGGGAATCCAGCACCTTCAGAGCAGTTCCTGAAGATTATTGAACAGATGAACTAGGTGTATGGGGTCCAGGAACTTTGCCTGTTTTGAATACCGCCATAACTCGGGCATCTAGGATAGTGCCTGGAACACAGTAGGTGCTCAGTAAATGCTTGATGTCAATGACCACTCCGCCCTCCACTCTCACATCCCCAGGCTCCAGCCACTCCTCATCCGTCCTGAGGGACTCACAGTCCACATTCTCCAGCTCCAGGACCTGTTGAGGGGTCTGGCCCGGGTGACCCCCATAGTCCGCAGCACCATGGCTCCAGGGCAAGGGCAGGCCTGGGGCATGGAGGTGGCCGGGCCACTCACTTGCGACCTGCATGTTCAGAGGCAGAGAGCTATGGGTCGTCTGCCCAGCCTTGAAGCGATTCAGAGACCCCACCCTGTGCCCACCGTGCCCCCACCCCACCCCACTGAACAGCCAGGGCCGAGGAGGAGGGAAAACCTCACCCAGACTTGAGTCTCTGCCAGAGTCCTCCCCGGGTTGAGCCTGGGGAGGGCCGCCTGGCCCACCACAGCCCCCAGCTCAAGCCTCTTGTGGGCTCAGAGCCACTTATAATTATACAGCCCCCGAGGCCACTGGGGCCTGCTCTCCAGGCAAAAATATCCCAAGCCTTTCATGTGGCTGAGAGGCCCAGGCTGCAGCTGCATCACAGCACAGGCCTGGCCTTCGGAGGGACACCCATGCAGAGGCCTCCAGTCGGGGCCTCCAAGGAGGCAGAGTGTGTGTGAAACCTCCCCAGGCCTCAGTTTCCCCATCTGTAAACTAGAGATGTTCTTTTATTCCCTAGCTCTTTCCCAAGTGTCTCCATGTGCCAGGAACTGTGCCGGGCCCAGAGAGAGCTGTGAATGAGACAGATGCTGACGCACCTCCGCTCGGGCTGTTCCCTCTGCCTGAAGTGCTGCCCTCCATGGGCCCCCACGCCTGACCCACCTGCACATCATCACCACCTCCACGAAGCCCTCCCTGAACCCCAGCCTCTGGGGAGGGAGATCAGCAGCTTTTTCTATGCTCCTGCACCCCCATTCCCTGCCTAGAGTACACTGGCCTGTAAAGGCCTGTTTCCACGTGCCTCTAGACTGTCAGCTTCTCTGGTCCAGAACGAGGGCTTTTTCTGTCACTGTATCCCTAGCACCAGTGCCTGGAACACAGTAGGTGCTCAGTAAATGCCCCTCCACTGGCTGAATGACTCTAGTCCAACCTGACCATGTTAAAGATGGGGAAACTGAGGCCCAGGGAGGGGATTCATTGACATAATTTTGCTCTGTCTCAGGGAGCTCCTATCAGGGGAGACAGTTGAGAAGCAAGTCAGCTGGCAATTCAGAAAGACAACCTAACACTGCAAAATGCTATCAAGGAGATAAAAAGGCCGAGGAGACAGGAAATATCTTGGGAAGGGGCAGGGGCAGGTGTCCGGGCAGCTGTTTTAGCAATTGTGGTCAGCGCTGGCTTCCTGGAAGAGGTATCAGCACTGACATCTGCAGGATAAGAGGAATCAAGCACTCAAGGAGGAGAAGGAACAGCTTCCTGGGCCGAGGAAACAAACAGCAAATGCAAAGGCCCTGTGGTGGAAAGGGGCTTGGCATGAGGCCTCTTCCAGGGAAACCAGACGGGGTGCTGATCGGTTCTCACCAAGGAGTCGTTCGAGCTTGGAAATTGAGAGACCTGCTTTCTTCGCTCCTGGCTCTGCCCCTCATGCACTGTGTGACCTGGGCCTCAGTTTCCCTTCCTGCACCAGGAAGGGTCAGCGGAGGCTCCTCCAACCTCTCTCTCTGTGATTCGAAGTGAATTTTCCACTTGTTTGCCCACCCCAGAAAACAACACACCACCACGGGGGGAGAAAAATATCACAGCCACTTTGGAAAACAGTGTGGTGGGTTTTATCAAGTTAACCATGTGCTTCCCAGATGAGAGAAGAAGAAATCTCTTCTCTCGGTATTTCCCCAAGAGAAATGAAAACACACATTCACACGAAGACAAAAATGTCCATAGTCGTTTTATCCATAATAGCAAAAAAACCTGGCAACTACCCAAATGTCCACCAACAGGAGGATGGATGAAGAGACTGTGGTCCATGCAGTGGACACTTTCCCCCAGTGGAAGGAAAAGACGGGAGGTGGACAATTTGGATGAATCTCATAGACACACCAAGCAAAAGAAATGGACCCAGTCGAACACAGACTGGGTGATTCCATTGACAGGAAGTTCTAGAACAAAGGCAAAACTAAGCTACGGGGACACAAGTCAGAAAAGCAGTTACCCTTGGGGGGTGTTCACTGGAAAGAGACACAAAGGAAACTTCTGGGGCTGCAGACGTACAATGTCTGCGTGGCGGTTACGTGGGCACGTGCACACAGAAAACCAAGCTGCACGCTTCAGACGGTCATGCTTTACGTAGGTTATGACTCAAAGTTTTCTTTAAAAATTAAGAACACTGCATCTCTCTCCTTTTTTGTTGGGGGGGGGCACCAGAGCCAGTAGGATCCTTGGCTTCCTGTGGCCATGGTGGCCTGGCCAGCTGCACGCTGCCTTGTAAACATTTACATTCCCCAGGGCCCTGTGCAAGGAGCAGTTCCGTGCACCCCACATGGGAGCCATCTCGGAGGGCAGGAATGTAAACACGCACCACCAGCTGCAGACCTGGCCTTGCTCTCCTGCTCTGCCAGCTGCCCACGGGGTGCCCTCGGGCGGGCACTCCCCAGGAGCCCTCGCTGCCCATCCCCACCATCCATCACGAGCAGGAATTGAGATGATTCTTTTGAACTGCCTTTGCAGCACTGTTGGAACTGGGTTGGGGGGGCTGCCTGTCTTGGAGCAGAGGGGCAAAGTGGGGAGGGCTTGGAGCTGGGCTTCAGGGCCCCTAAGTCACCCAAACACTCAGTACATCGTCTCATGTGTCTCCTGCTCTGTGTCCCCTCACTTTACACTGAGATCGTCTGTCCCGTCTTCCCTCTCTCCCATCTTTCCTCTTCTCCCCTCCTTCCTTTCTTCTTTCCTGTCCTTCCCTTCTCTTTCTTCCTTCTCTCTCTCTCTCTCTCTCTCTCTCTCTCAGCAAATCCTTATTGAGCACGTACTATGTGCCAATCACTGGGGCTACAGCAGAGAACACAGATGAAAATCCCTGTCCTCACAGAGCTTGCATTCTAGTGGGACTGGAAAACGATTGAAAAGATAACTTGGTAATTATATACAGTATGGAAGATGGTGGTAAGGGGTATGGAGGAAAATAAAGCAGGGAAAGGGTAATGTTCAAGCAGAGACCTGAAAGATGTGAGAGAGTGAGTCAGGGAGATGATCAGAGAGGAAGAGCAGTCCAGGCAGAGGGAAGAGCAAGTGCAAGGGTCCTGAGGTAGGGGCGCCTGGAATTTTCAAGGCGTGGAAAAGAAGTGTCCAATGAAGCTGGAGCAGAGTGAGTGAGCGGGAGAGTAGGAGGAAGTGAAGTCGGAGGGCACCAGGGCCAGATCGGGCCTCTGTGGGCGTTGGCAGGGGCTTTGGCTCTATGAGTGAAGGCCAACCATGGTTCCCCATGTGTGTGAGACCCTCTCCTCCCCCTGCATCCATCCTCTTTATCCCTGATGCCACACACACACGTGCCCTTTCTCTTGAGGACCCTCACCAAGAGAGGGCTCTGGGTCCCACCTCTGGGGAGGCGAAGGGACTCCACGTAAAGCCCCTGCGAAGCCCATGCAGATCCCCAGCTCTCCCCTGGCCACTGGCTTCTGACTCAGCTGGGACCAGAAACATGGCTCCCGGGGCTCCCTAATGAACCAGCTCTCCTGGCAGCTGCATGAGTCAGCCTTCTGCACCTGAGCCCAGGGACAGCTTGACAGAGAGGGTCTTCCACAACCCCCAGATCCATCCGCCAGGAGGGACAGGGCCACATGGGGGTGACAGCAAGGAGGCAAAACACACCCAGGGTGAGCGGAGACCACCTGCCCTTCAGGGACCTCTGGGTTCTGCTGCTTCAGAGCTGGGTGACCTTGGGCTAAGTCATCCCACCACTCTGGGCCTCAGTTCCTTCATCTGCAAAATGGGGGTAATAGTAACACTCACTTCCTTGGGTTATCGTGAGAATGCAATGAGCCTTGGTGCCTGGCACTAAATACATACACTAATAATAACAACAGCAACACAGGTGGCACCTCGGACTGACGGTCTTTCTCACAGCATTGGACAGCAGCAAATACAGAGGCCTGGCATACAGCAGGCGCCCCATAAGTTTCCTGGACGGAAAAGAGCAGAGCAATTACTCACCGCAGCCCTCACCCACCAGCAGGCCAGCCGGCGAGGAGGCCCCCATCCTCGGAGGGGTGAGCCCAGAGGCCCAGGCTGGCTCCTGCACCTGCCCTGCTGCCGGGGCCCTGAGTGCGTGTAGCGGATTGATCTCTCCTGGGTAGGGTCCGACCTCCCCGGGGCACACGCAGGCGCTGGCCATGGGGGAAGGGCCCCCGACAGCTGGAAACATCTGGTTTGAATTGTCAGCTGGAAGCACCAACCAGGCAGTTAAGGAATTTGTGAGCTAATTTTAGGCCAAAAGACGGCGAGCTCAGCAGGGCGGGGGTTGCTAAGCAAACCACAGGGGCTGGGGGGACAGGCCTGGGGGGACGCGGAGGCCTCATGGTTCCCCTCAGAGGGTCCACGACTGCCCCATAGCCAGGGACTATCCCTCCAGGGTGGCCCCAGCTGGGCCCCTGCAGTGTGCCAGCCATGTCAGAGCCGTACGAATAGCAAGGACCGTTCTCCCCATTTCTCAGGTGTGGAAGCGATGTCTCCAAGAGGTTAGAGTCGCCCAACGTCCAGCAACTTGTAAACAGCAGAGCGGGCATCCGAGCCCAGTCTGCCTGACTCTGAGCCTCAAATCTAAGCTTCCCTTGATTTCTGCCAGTCACGTGGCCTGGCTTCCATTCTCACACCCTCGCCAACCTTCCTTGCCCATTTGTCCATTCAGTAAATGTTTCCTGAACCCCTGCTGTGTGCCAGGCACTGTGCAGTGAAAAGGAGAGAGTGAACGTGAGGGACAGAGGGCCCCGCCCTTGCACAGCAAAAATCCATATATCAAGAACGTCTGTCCAGATGGTCATCTGTACCTGGAAGGGGAAAATGGGGTTGTCCTCAAGAAAAGTTGGGGGCAGGGATGCATAGAGGGCCCCTCTGAAGAGGTGACATTCAAGCTGAGACATAAAGGATGAGAAGATGCCAGTCACGCAGACATCTGGGAAGAGGATACCAGGCAGAGGAATAGCAGGTGCAAAGGTCCTGGGGCAGGAGCATGTGAGTAAGAAAGAACAAGAAGTCTCATGGGGGCCGGAGCGGAGTGAGAATGAGAGGTGACAGCTTTCCTGCACTCATCCAGCCAACACGTTTGTCAATAGGTGATATGGGGGTCCAAGCAGGGCAGGAGTCGTGTTCCAGAAGCTTCAGCTGGTGGAATTAGGTACCCCACTGTCCTACAGATTCATTTGTATCCAGTGATTTGCTGAGGGGCCACTGAAACTCTGGGGGAGATCCCTTGAAGCCTGTCCCTCTAGGGGGCCTGGAGGCCGGACACAAGGCAGAACAACAGGGTCTCCTGGAAGGACTTCCCCAAGGGAGGGGGCAGCCCAGAAGCCGTGCTGAGACAGGAGAGGACCTTGATTCATCTGCCCATGCCCCGCCCCCCCCGCAGGGTTCATGTGCCCGGGAAAGTGACTAGTCTTTGCCCCTCTGGTTCTCCAGTCTCCTGCCCTGGGCCTGTTCCTCTCTCCTTCTTTCCTAGGAAAACAGTTCCAAGGCTGTCCCCCTGCCAGGCTCAGCGACAGCATCCTTATTTTGCCAGCCTCAGGCATGGGGCACTGGCTCTGCCGGCCCCCCAAGTGGCAAGAGCCTGGGTAGCTAGGGCTACAGCCTTCCAGCCACCAAAAGGAACAACTAAGTTCATGGCCACACAGAGGCCCCTCTGGGTTTCCAAAAACTTCTGAGAAGGGGAGCTCCGTGGGGCTCTCACTGCCGAGTGGGAAAAGCAAGGTTTCTCTACCTCAGCACCACTGACATTCGGACAAGACACTTCTTTGCTGTGTGGGGCTGTCCTGTGCACTGCAGGATGTTTAGCAGGGTCCCTGACCACCTGCTAGATGCTAGTAATGGTCCTCCAAGTAGCGACAATCAAAAGTATTTCCAGACATTGCCAGATGTCCCCTGGGGTGGCAACGTCGCCCCCAGGGGAGGACCACGAGCTCAGAGCCTTCCTGTGTGGGCACTAATAGCTAAAGAACAATGGCTTTACTCACTAGCTGGGGAGACCTGGGACCCTCAGACTTCCTAAACACTTACGGTTTTGTTCCGTACATTGAAAAATATTAGGGAAACACAGAAAAGTCGAAAGAAGAAAACAAAATTCGCCTACAATCCCACACTCGATGGCTAACCTCTCAATAACTTGGTGTACTTCCTTCCAGTCTTTTTTCTGCATTTTATGATCCTAACAGCTATGGCTTATGCAGCACTTACCCCATCCCAGGCATCGGGGAAGGCTTGGCTCAGTGGCAGGTGGGGGTGGGATATGGAGGGAGGGTTTGGGGAGCCTTTGCCCAGATCAGCTGCCAGATGAACCACCCGCAGGGCTGGCAGCCCCCCCTCCAAAGGGACAAGGGACTGGAGTAAACTTAGCATGCCACCTCCTGACCCCCATTTCCTGTCTACCCTCCTTCCTTCCCTGCGCCAGAGCTGAAGTCAGCAGAGTCTGGTTTCTTAGCAGCGTGACCTGCTAGAGCCAGCGGTCCAGCTTTCTGGACCTCAGCTTCCATAGCAGTAAAGTGGGATAATAATTGTCCCAACGTCACAGGTTGTCGTGAGGCCTGAATACGATCAGGCAGATAAAGCATTTGGCGTGGGGCTGGGCATGGACTGAGTGCCCAGCAAATTCCAGCTCCTGTCCCAGCCATCTCTCTCTGTCCTGGGTTCCAGCTCTGCTGTGTCATTGCTTTCTGCAAGCTGGGTTCAGCCTTGTCACTCTCCCAAGTCCCAATGTCTTCCCTCAGCTACCAGAAGCCACAAAGGGTGACTGACGGGGGACTTCCAGATGCCAGGACAGGTCTTCAGGGGTGGGAGTTTGGGGCATGGGATTCCCCCAGAACCCCGCTGTGATCTCAAGGATAGCGTAACTTAGTGGTAAGAACGTGGCTTTCTAATCCAGGTCTGGGTTCCAACTCAGATCCTCATGTAAGACCTGGGACAGGTGACTTCACCTCTCTGAGCCTCAGTTTCCTCTTCTGTAAAATGGGGAGAATCCTAGTTCCTCCTTCCTAGGCTGTTTGAGGGGATCCATGGAGATGAGGCAGATTCTCATGCTCAGTGGACGGATGGGGAGATTCAGGGGGTGATGTTCAAGGGCAAGGGGAGGTCTGGACAAGGGAAAAGACACACTGAGATGCAGGAGCCAGCCTGTACCAGTTTCTGAGAGCCAGCTGTCAAATTTTCAGAATTTTGTGAGTCAGTTGTTTCACAGTTAAATTACATTATATTAAAAACCAAGGTCCTCAATACTCAAAACTCATCACTGCCTCATGATTTTACTACATCCTACTATTACCTACCCTGTTGGCATTATTTACCTTTTTGTATCATCTACCATATAAATGGTTGGTTTCTCAAAATCAGCCATGGGAACATTTACAGCAAGGAAATTAGCAAGCACTGCAAATCGTACCTTGGGCACCAATCCACCCAACGAGCCAGTTGTTAAATGTATACCAGCACCCCACTGGGTTTGGAGCTGGGTCCTGTTTGAACCATCCCTCCTTCATCCTCAGAGACTGGACCAAGGGAGCTCCAGGCTGCCGTTGGCTCCAAGAGCTGGTGGCGGGCGCCCCCTGGTGGCTTCTTCAAGCACCCACCATCCCTGCTGCTGACAAATCCTGCACCTTGAAGAGAAGGCGGCAGAGGGGTGGTCCTCTTCCAGTAGAGATAGAGAACCAACGTCCTGGAGCAGAGGCGCTCCGGGAGCCCTCAGGGGAACGCAGAGACCTGCTCCCTGCCCAGATGGACGGGGAAGCAAGACCCCAGAGGGACTGCCCAAATGTGCCCCCAAGTCCTTCAGCCTCTGGGTCCCCACCGCCGTGATGTGGAGCTCCCCCCGACTTTTCTGATCACTGCCAAAGGCGAAGTGAACTCCTGTTGTTCCCTTAGGAACCGGCCTCCTGCAGGGTCTGTTGTTCCCGCCCACGGCAGATAACCCTCTCCACCAGCGCCCCTGCCGAAGCACCTTGAACACAACTTCCTGTGCATCACACTTGTTCTAGAGGTTCGGGGTGGGGTGGGGGAGGGTAGAAGCAGACAGTTCTCTCCTTATCCCTGATTCTGTCCCCCACGGCCCTGCTGCCTTTCGTGTTCCTCCTGCCTTTCCAAGGGAACAGTCTCTCCTGTTCCCCCAACCCGCCTCTCCAAGCTGCAGCCAATACCCCTCAGATTCAACATTTTCTCTGAACTCTCTCTCTACAGGTTATGCCCTGGAGTGGAGGAGTCCTGCATTCCCAAAGAGGCCCCTGGAGGTATTTTTCTAGAAGAGAAAAAGTCCCCTGAGATGAATGTTTTAGAAGGTAGAAATGTGTGTGTGTGTGTGTGTGTGTGTGTGTGTGTGTGTGTGTGTGTGTGTGTGTATTGTCCTTCTCCCTGTACAAAAATGACTAAAAGGCACTGGGAAGCAAAAATCAAGAGTTTGGGGCTTCCCTGGTGGCGCAGTGGTTGCGGGTTCGTGCCCCGGTCCGGGAAGATCCCACATGCCGCGGAGCGGCTGGGCCCGTGAGCCATGGCCGCTGAGCCTGCGCGTCCGGAGCCTGTGCTCCGCGACGGGAGAGGCCACAGCGGTGAGAGGCCCGCGTACCGCAAAAAAAAAAAAAAAAAAAAAAAAAAAAAAAAAAAAAAAAAAAAAAAATCAAGAGTTTGAATCCCAGCTCAACCATGGTCAGGAAGTAAGCCAGGCTCTTCACTTCTCTTAAGCCTTTGGCTTCCTGATCTGACCCTCAGGGTCCACGTGGGTTTCAGTGCTTAAATAGGGCCACCCACTGTCCTGATTGCTGGAGCTGAAAGTCTTATATCCCATGATATAGGACGTTCAATGCTAAAATCAGGGCAGTCTCAAACAAACCGGGACATCTGGTCACTCTACACTTAAGTCGGGGACAAGCTAACTTTTAGAGCCTAACCCAGCCAGCTGCCTGTTTGTAAACAAAGTTTCAATAGAATTCAGCCAAACGCATTCATTTATGACACAGAGTCAATCGCTGCATTCACGCCATGATGACAGAGTCGAGAAGCCTGCCAAACCCGAGATATTTATGGTCTGGCCCTTTAAGAAAAAGTTTACTGGCCCCCAACTCTACGTGACAGGTGGTCAGTTGTAGGAAGGCCTTGTAGGATGTAGCCAGGCTCCCCCTGTGAGGAGGGGCCGCTGGGTGTTAACGGGAGATGGGCCCCATGTGGAACAGAGGGGTCAGGGTGGGCTTCTGGGGAGGGTGGCGTTGATGTTTAGAGGGGTATCTGGCTGAGATTTGGCGGGGGAACCAAATTCCGTAGGCTTGAACTGGGTCACGGGAGGTGCTGGAAAAAGTGGTTCCTCAGGCCAGCACCCTCTGTCCTCCAACAGCCTGAACCCCGCCTCCCAGCTGCCCAAGGGAACAGCAAGATGCCCCCTGAAGTAACCGCAACAGCCCGTGCTGGGGTCTTCCTGAGGGGCCTGGGGCCGGGCGTGAACAGCAAAGGACCAACTCCCCACCTGAAGGAGGCACCTTGGTACCCTGAAGAGTTCGTTCAGCCATCGCTTGTTTACCAAACATTTACTGAGTGTCTGTGCTCTCCCGGGCCCCCGAGCTGGGCCCTGGGAGACTTCGGGGAACAAGGCAGAGCCCACCCTAAAACAAGGCCACAGGGGGAGGCGAGGGAGGGCGGGACGGGGGTCACTCTGTCACCAGATGGAAGCTCATTGGTCCACAAAGTCCCAGAGAAGCCTGTAGCCTTGGGCTTTCCCAGCCTGCCCAGCCGTCACATGCCCAGCCCTCACCCTGGGCTCCTGGGAGAGATACCCCAAACCGGGAGTGACAAAAAATGAACTCAGGAATGGTGTAACCCCCCGCAAAGGTGCCCCCTTCCTGTGCAGTGACCATGGCCACCAGAAGAAAGTGGCAGTGGGGGTGTGGGCAGGGAACGCTGAGTCCTCCTGGGCACATGGGGATGAGATTCCAGCAGCCGTGGGAGGCATTAGAGGGGGTCAAGAACACATGGGAGAAAAAAAAGAAAAGAACACATGGGAGGCAGGGAGGTGGAGGCGGCCTCTCCAGCCTCCACTGGAGGCTCCGTTTGCCAGGCCTGCTCTGGTGCCTGGACCTTGACTGCTCTCAGTCCCGTGTAGGGCGGCCAGGGTTCCCACCCTAAACATTCCCATCCCCAGGCGGCTCCAAGGAAGCCCGGACCCGTGGCATAGAGCCTGGGTATGGGTGGTGGCCCAGCGAGGCCGCCTGGGGGCTGGTCCTGCTCAGGCAGCCGGGCCGGGAGCTAAGGGAGGAAGCTGTGCAGGGTGAGGTCATCCCCCTCGCGGTCCTCCCCAGACCCCGCCTTCAGGCCCTGGCTCTTGGCCTTGGGCAGGCCCCCGTTGGCCATGGCAGCTGGCCCCTCACTCCCCTCGGGCAGCAGGGATGAGATGCAGACCATCTCGGTGGGGGAGTAATTGCGCACGGGGTACAGATGGTTCTTGCGGGACAGGCGGATGGCCAGCACCACGGTGCATATGAGGAAGATGGTGGCCACCAGGGCCAGGATGAGGATGGCCAGCAGACACTGCTTCACCGAGCTGGGGTCAAGCAGGCCCTCTGTGGAGCTTGGGGTCACAGAGCTCCGGGGGAAAAGACTCTGACCATTTTTCCATTTGTAGATCAAGTTATCAGATGAATTGCCAACTGCCACAATGGTGCTCTTGGGAGGGTCAGAGGGCACAGCAAGGGCTGTGGTTAGGCCCCTTGTGGTAGCAGGTCTTGTGGGCAGGGTCTTCACAGTGGCTGGATCTGTGGGCAGGGCCCCTGTGGTAGTGGGCTCCATGGAAAGAACTGCTGTGGTGGCCAGTTCCGTGGACAGAGCCTCTATGACTGTGGGTCCCATGAACAGGGCCTCTGTGGCAGTGGATCCTGTGGACAGGGCCTCTGCGGACAGGGTCTCCGTGGCAGTGGGTTCTGTGGACAGGGTCTCCGTGGCAGTGGGTTCTGTGGACAGGGCCCCTGTGGACAGGGCCTCCGTGGCTGTGGATTCTGTAGTCAGGGCCCCTGTGGACAGGGCCTCCGTGGCTGTGCGTTCTGTGGCCGGTGCCATTGTGCTTGCTGGCTCCGTGGGCAGGGTCTCTGTGGACAGAGCCTCTGTGGCTGCAGGTTCTGTGGCCAGTGCTGCTCTGCCTGCTGGCCCTGTGGACAGGGCCTCCACTGCAGCTGATTCTGTGGATGGACCCTCCATGATGGGAGGGATTACAGTGACTGGTTCTTTGGTCAGAGTGACCAGTATGACCGGTTCCATGCTCACATTCCCAGTGGCTGCCCCTCCTGCATCCAGGACAGCAGGGTCCCTTGTGGCCACCTCCAGAGTGGTTGGCTCAGGTGTTAAAGGCCCTGCAGACTCTCTCTGCTCCAATGTTCCCATCACAGGCAGAAGCTTGGGGGCCTTGGTGCTATAGTTAAGCATTTCTGGAGGGTCCGTCTGTACGTCATAGTCATATATGTCGGAGTCGTCCTCATCCACTTCTCTCCGGCCACGGACAAGCAGGGGGCCTGGGGCCTCCTTGGCTCCATCCTCCCAGGTCTCCCACAGCTGGAGGCTGCTTCCAGGGCCCAGCAGGGCCAGGAGCAATAGGAGTTTCAGAAACATGGCACCTGGAGGGGGATACGGACAGAGGGATGTCAGGATAGCTGTACCCCTGGACCTGCCAAGCGCCCTCGATGGCCACAGCTGGGAGCTCATCTGGCCTGGGGCGTCCTTGTGATCCAGCACATGCCTGGTGCACAGAAGACCCTCCGCAAATAGCAGCTATTATTACTTATCAACATCAATGACTCCGTCTGGGGGGTAGCCCTTCAGCTCCCTCTACATGGTGCATAGAAATGTGTTTGCCTCCTTATTCTTTTTTATTAAAACTTTTTATTTGTGGGCAAGACAATCTACTGGGGTACGGAAAGATAATATTAGATCTTCTAGTTATATTAACTTTTATGTCACTTCTTAATTTCTATCTTTGTATACATTTATAATATGAGTGCAGTGGTACTTGTATACAATTAATAAACAGGCCAATGTTCCTATATCGTCCACTGATGGGGTCCATGAGCAAGTTTGGTGGCTGCAGGTTTGCAGGATAAAGCTGTTCATTTGGCCCTTTGAGGCTTCTCAGAGTCCGATCCTGACTCTTCTCTCCACATCATTCTGTTCCACTTTTCCTTATCTTGGCTCCCATCCCACACAGCCCTGTCCTTTCCCTCAGATTCTCGGTTTTCTCATCCTTTATTGGTGTCCTGGTTTGGCCCAGTTCCCTTTGGCCGGGTCCTCACTTACATGATGGGGATGACAGCACCTATCTGGAGACTATTGTGAGGATAACATGAGGTGATACCTGCAAAGCCCTTAGCACTTTGCTCCCATCTCCAGCTCCCACAAAGGGCAGCTACTTCAGTTCTTTCAGTAAATCTATCCCATAAGTCCTCAAGGGCCCAGAGCCATCAACTGCTCTATCTGGGGCCAGGAGATAAACTCAAATCTTTTCTGAAGAGGCTGTCCTCAGCGAGTTGACAGTCATCTCATTTGCCTCTGAGTAGGGAGGGCCACTGTCCATCCTGGTATCACCCCTCAGCCTCCCGAACAGGTAGCCAGAAAGGGCAGTGCCTTTCCCTTTGGACATCTCATTGATCTTTCTACTTGGCCTTGTGAACGCTCACGCCCTCTGGATTTCCCTCTCTCCCCTTACGCTCCCCCTGGCACTGGCTGGTATCTGTGGGATTCAAAATCTTGCAGCTGAGACTCCTGTGGTGACCAACAGCTGTGTTCTGGGGCAGGATTCATATATCACTCGATTCCCTGACATAGCACCCTTCAGCAATACGCAGTCCCAGGCACAGTGTCTGGGGCAGAGCCTGGATAATTTCCAGTACCTTTCCTTGTTTGTTTTTTTAATTGGAGTATAGTTGATTTAAATGTTGTGTTAGCTTCAGGTGATACAGCAAGGTGATTCAAGTATACATATATTGATACATATATCTATTCTTTTTCAAATTCTTTTCCATTTATTCAATAGCTTTCCTTGCACTTCATGTAATTTGGGGCAGAGAGCAATTGTTCATCATTCTTTGAGTGACTGTAACTCACTCATGGATCCCTCAGCTTCTAGGCTCAATCCAACCTCTCACATGTTAGTTAGAATTATGATGGTTTCTAAAATGCCAGCCTGATTTTATCTTAAAATAATTTCTTAAACCAAACTTGATGATATTTGCACCAGACACATCTGGCTCTCACAGTTGTCTTCACTTTACTGAGGAGGGATGAGACTCAGAGAGGTAGAGCAACTTGCCCAAAGCCACACAGCTGCCGAGTGCCAGAGATCAGATTCGAAGCCAGCGAGGACTCAGGAAGGCTTTGTGGAGAGACCCGATCTAGTTGGAGGGGCAGAAGGAGCAAAGGCTTGGAAGACAGCTTAGCTTGATGGGTTTGCGGCTGCTGTTGGGGACCCAGCTGGGGAATGGAGGGCAAAGTAAGAATAAGGAGGACCTTGAAGGCCGTATCACCCAGAAAGGTCAGCCCCCTCTGTACTGGGTGCTATGAAGGGCACAAGATTGAGGGCACAGATTTTGGGGTCTAACAAAATGATGTTCAAGTCCCAGCTCTGTCCATTACAAGAGGAATGACTTTGACCCAGATCTTTGCCTTTCTGAGCCTCAGTTTTATCTGTAAAATGGGAACAACAAACACTACCCATCTCACAGGGCTGTTGGGAGAATGCAATGAGATGAGGGATTCAAAGGTTCTAGGCTCACAGTAGGTGCTTAATAAGTGTGTTATACACACACGCACACGCACACACACTCTTTGCCTCTGAACTTGCCTTTGGGAGGCAGACTGTTTTGCACAGGGGGTCGAGTTCCTTCTTGGGGGAAGAGAATATGGCCTAACCTTGGCCCCACTTTCCGGCAGGTGGGGGACTTTAGGAATAAGCCACCAGCTCTGGGACATATTTCATAACTTGAAGACTCACACCCACCACCCCCACTTGGGCAGTTCTCGGTTCCTGGAAGGCAGAGCCCTCAGTCACTTCCTGGAAGCAGAGAGGGAGAAACAAAAACAGAAGATGCAACCCACCAGTTCCTGGGTCAGGGAGGTAACTGGGCGAGTCAGGGAGGCTGGGAGGGTACTATGGAAGGGACCAGGTTGTGTTCCCCAATGTGGGCTCTCCCCCTGCACCCATCCCCACAGTCCCCTGCACACAGAGGCAGCCTGGGGTGGAGGAGAGACCACTTAGCCGCTGTGTAACCTGAGCAGATCGCTTCACCAAGTGTGAGCCTCAGTTTCCTCATCTGTAAAATGGGCGATACTGTCTCAAAGATGAGAATGGAATGAGATGCTGTAGGGAAGATCCCCTGATGCTGGCATCCAGCAGGGGTGCTGTGGACAGAGGAGCAGAGGAGAGGGGGGCCTCCAACTCAGGGAGAGTACAGAGATGGTGACCTCCCTACCTCCCTACATTAGGGAAGCAGTTAGGGAAGCTGCAAAGACCTGTGTGAGAGCAGAGACCTCCCCGCCTCTTTGGGATGCAACCGTGAGCACTGGGGAAACCAGCATCTCCCTGCCTGGGCCTGTCTACGGCTACCAGCTTATCCCAGACATCCGCAGTGTTAGCACTGAAAATCCCTCGTCCCAGTCAGTCCCAGGCAATCCAGGTGCCTAGTACCTGCCATACTGTGGGCTTCAAGGGGAAGGGACCAGGGACACAGCAGCCTCTAGCCAGGCCGTGGCTGGGCAGGCTTCAGCCCATGTGACTGAAACCCACATGGCTTCCAGAGGCTCTGTGGCTCCAAAGAGGCAGTTAACAAGGAGAGGAGCAGAGCGTAAGCACTGTGTATGGCAGGTAGGATAATAACTTTAATCTTTGCTAAAACACATTTATGATGCATTATAAAACCCCCACTGCGGATGGATCATTTCAGTATCTCATCATCTGGGGGCCTCATTCATCTTCACTCCAGCACTGGCTGCTATAGTTCCCGTTACACAGATTAGGGAAGCAAGGCTCAGGGCAGTGAGGTCACTTCCGTCAGGCCCCACCTTTCACCTCTTCTCTCCTCTGATGGCAGGAAAACAGTCACTTACCACAGGAGTGGGGTGGGCAGGGCTCAGAGATAGGCGCAAGGAGATGCCACATCCTATTTTGCTTGTTGCTTGCTTAACGGAGGAGGTCAGACACTGCCCGGTTCGTCTTCACCCGAAACCAGGGTGCTTCTGCCCCAAGCCCCACCCAGGCTGTGTGGAAGAGCGAGCTGCCAGGGGCCACACCCCAGCTCCGGAGACCGCACCACATGGCTGCCCTGGACCACTCAGGAAAGGTGCTTGTAGGACTCAAGAAGCTTGGGACCTCCCATTTGGAATCCTGAATCCCAGGAGTCCCAGCGTTCAAGAGCTTGAAATCTCAGGATCCAAAAGACTGAGCATCTCAGCGTGTGGGTTGAGCAGCCTCGAGAGAGGGGATCCAGCGCGGGCCCAAGTGTCCCCCCAGATCGCAGCACAGGTCTGAGTCCTGCTGCACTGGACATGTAACCCAGCAGGACCCTGTGGGGCCTTCCCAGGACAGACCCCTCCCCCATATCCTCTTCTTTAGCTCCTCCCTGAAGTACCTAGATAACAGTATCTGATGCACATTTCCTGAGTTGTTTTACAGATGCTAAACACAGCCCCACCCCAGATGGAAGAAATTAACTACTTGATGACCCCAGACCTGGCGCATGAGGATTGATAATGTTAACCCCTGTGATGCCACCCTGTTACCTCACCATCAACCAATCAGAGAATTGTGCACGAGCTGATCACAGTCCCTGGAACTCCCCTCCCTCACCTGGCCTTTAAAACTGCTTTGCTAAAACTCATCGGAGAGTTTGGGCTTTTTGAGCACTAGCTGTCCTAGACTCCTTGTCTGGCGCCCTGCAACAAATGCTGCACTTTCCTTCACCACAACATGGTGTCAGTAGATTGGCTTTACTGCACACAAGCGAGCAGACCCCAGTTTTGGTTTGGTAACAGACAGGACCTGGCCCAGCTCAGGATCAAATCCAGTAACAAACCAGATCCAGTCCCAGCTCTGTCGCTTACAAGCTGTGTGATCTTGGGCAACTGAACATACCTCTCTGAGCCACAGGTTCTTCACTTGGAACACAAGATACCAGTAGCGCCTACACTTTGTGGGGTTGTTATGTGTTAAAGTGAGCTGATCCAGGTTGAGCGTTTAGCACAAAGTAAGTGCTCAATAAAGGCCAGGTGTTGTCATTGTCATTCTGCATGTAGGTCCACATCCCTGAAAAATCTACAACCCTGGGACAGCTTTGACACACTTCTGACCTTGTCAGTCAAAGAGAGCTGGGGCCAGGAGCCCCAGAAACCTGTCTCCACAGTAAGTCCTGGGTGCCATACACAGCCTTGGTCTCCTCTGGTTTGTGTATCAAGTGTAGACAATGTGCTGGACACTGTTCTAAGAGCTATGCATGAACTATTAGCTCACTTGGGCCCCACAGCCTCCTCGTATCAACCCCACATGAAAGATGGGGAAACTGAGGCCCACTTGGTACTTACAGTCACAAGGCCAGTAAGAGAAAGAGCAGGAACTTAAACCTGGTTGATC